TCGGTCATATGGGCTTGAGCAGGCTTTTTGCTTGTTCTTCTTTTGCTTTTGCCTTTGTTATGGCAATCTTTGGCTCGATGTCCCACTTTGTCACAGATGTAACATTTGCCATTAACCTTGTACTTTTTATTATCCCCCTCTTTAGAGCCTTGTGATGAACTTTCGCCAGAAAACTTTCGTTTCTTGGTTTTTGAAGTATGTTCCACTACATTTGCCTTAGACTCCATAGGATGCTTACCAGCCCGCTTTTCAGAATTGCGGTTGTCCTCCTCAATTCTCAAACGCACAATTAATTTGTCCATATAAATTTCTTTGCGCTTGTGCTTGAGGTAGTTCTTGAACTCCTTCCAACCTTTTGGTAATTTTTCAATTAAGGCTGTAACTTTAAGGATTCACTGAGAGACATGTCTTCTGCGTGAATATCATGCAGAATGAGTTGGAAATCTTGAGCTTGACTGATCACAATTTTTGAATCAACCATTACAAAATCCAAGAATCTGCCAACCACAAATTTCTTTGAGTCGGCATCTTCCGTTTTGCAACTTTTTCTCCAACGATTCCCAAAGTTCCTTTGCTGTCTTGATTGGACTGTAGACGTTGTATAATGTGTTGTCAAGTCCGTTCAAGACGTAATTTCGGCAAAGGAAATCGGCATGTTTCCAAGCATCAACCGCAGCAACCACTTGCCGGTCGGTATCATCCTCTTTAAGGATAGGAGCATCTTCACGGAGAAAACGAGCCAGGTTCAGAGTTGTAAGATAGAACAACATTTTCTGTTGCCATCTTTTAAAGTCAGTTCCTGAGAACTTCTCTGGCTTCTCTCCATGATTTATTGGTACTGTCATCACAGGAGAGGGGGTTGGTGCAATTGCAGCCATCACAGTAGTACTTGTTTGGGCATTTGTTTTAGTAGCCATCAATTTTAATTTATAAAACAAAATTATAATTAGAATTTACACTACACAGAAAACTAAACCGAATTCACAGAATTAAATTTTGTAAAAATAAAAGAAACAAGAATGTAACTTTTATTTTCCAATTAATTTGAAAATAAAATAAAATTTTATTTAACCAAATTAATTCCACACAAGAAATAAAAAATAAAAAAACTATAACTTTATTTTCAATTAATTGAAAATAAAATAAAATTTATTAAACCAAAATTAATTCCACACAGAAAATTAAATTCTATTAAAATAAAGAAATAGAATATAAACTTTTATTTTTCAATTAATTTGGAAATAAAATAAAATTTTATTAACTAAATTAATTCCACACGAAAATTAATTTCTGTAGCACTTCAATAATTAAAATACTAAAATAGAATTTTAAGTATGAAAACTCAGAAAATAATTTCTAAAACCCAAAATTAATTTCTGAAAAAATTTCACAAAATATATTCTGAATTGTTAATGACACGCAGTATCGACTACTAGTTGTTGTCAAGAAAAGAGACAGTATATACTACTATCTGTCAAATAGCATATAATCACTATTTGCTTTTCCAACCAGAATATTATTTTTGTAAATCCACAGAAAATATTTTTCTTCCAAAATTATTTACGAAGAATGAAAAAAGGAAACAAATGAAAAATTCTGTAAACAGAATAATTCGAATCTGTCTTAAGATTGTTGGACAATCTTCTGTGTAAATAAAATAATTAGAAATAAATTCAAACAAAATAAATAAATAACATACCGGATTTATTTTGTCGAACCAAATAAAAATTACAAGATCAAGTCGAGTGTGTGACACTCTGTCCTTAAGACAGATTCGCCCCGCTACGGTACTTACGGTTGAGTGGCGTCTATCTCCCAGGATACAATGATCTTCACAAATTGTAGTAGCACTCCAAACAATTTGTTCGGCGAACTAGAAACCTGTGTTCTATACTCTCTTTGTTATTTTTCCTAAAACTAGAATGAAGGAAAATGCACTAAATAAAAGTTGACAGCAATATAAAGAACGCAGACTGAATTTCGGGATTAATCAAAATTGAATGGGGCTGCCTTTATATAGGCTTTGTTGGCATCTATTCAATTTGAATAGAAAATGTATGAAGAAGGGACATAACCCTTCCTTTAAAATAAAGAGACACCATGAAAGGCTTACACCCTTCATTCAAATGGAGGTTTGACCCTTCCTTTAAAATAAAAAGACACCATGAAAGGTACACAATTTCATTCAAAATGGAGTCTATTTCAATTCACAACTACCTCTTTATAAATTTTCCAACACATCCTTGGTCTGCATGCCATGCCACGACCTTAGCCAGCAGTCTGGCATGCCATTGAAGTGCAACTCAGGCGGGTTCGATCAAGTTGTAAGGTTGTCCAAGTCTAACTCAAATTATGCTGAGATCTGCTCAGGCCCACCTAAGCCCGAATTGTAACTCGAGGTTGCCTGTCCAAGTCCGACCCTAGTTAAACTCGAGTTACCTGAATTGTAAATGAATTTCAATTTTTTGTTTCGCAGTTACATTATTAAATTATTAAAATTTGACTCTCTCTTTCTCTCTCTCTCTCTCTCTCTCTCTATATATATATATATATATATATTTATAAAAAATCATTAATACCATCAAAACAAATAATTTATATAATATAAGAAAAATAACTGAATTAATCATTACAATTTATGAGTGAAAAAAAAAGAGAGTAAAATTTTATATTATTTGTATGTATAATATATTCAATATGATTTAATAATTTAAATTACTTTAATATCATGTAATGACTAATAATTTATATGTATATTTAATATTTTTATATATTTATATATTATAATTCGGGTTTCAGGTTGCTCGGGTTGTTTGATGTCTTTGCCAAAGTCCGCCCAAATTTAATTTGAGCTTTTAAATTTTTGCTTAAACCTGTACCGAATTTGAAAATATCATATCTAAATCCTAAAACAATTCAGGTTATTTTAGAATTGCTCAAGTTAAGCCCACCCATGTTACACCCCTACCTGCCATTGTCTTTGCATAGTTTCCACATTTATAAACTTTTTTCACATTGAAATAAGAACATATATAAATTTATAATGTTGACAAATCACGTCAGTTCATGATGTATCAAGCTGGGAAAGATCAATTTACGATGGCGTTATGATCTATAAATAAATAAAAATATTGCGTATTTTAAAAAATAAATTAAAAAACATTGAACTATATTATTCAAGTTTATACTTTATTTGTGTGGTTGACCCTCAAAATAAATATGATTTATACATTCTAAATCATAGGTACCAATATTTCTAAAAAGAAAATTTATATCAATAGTTCTTGTATTTTTTATTGTATGTTATTTTGGTCATTCCATTTTTAATTGGGTTGATTTGACTTCTAATTTTAGATTTTATACTAATTTAGTCAAAGTTAAATCAGTGAGTTAATTAAGTTTATAAATTTTCTCTAAAAAAACATAACACATGTTGTTCATATGTGTATTTTTCATTTTTTTTTTTTTTAAAAAAAAGAGGCTAACAAACATAATCAATGTGATCAAATTGAGGTAAAATTACAAATTCAGAATCAAAATCAAAGAAATTATAAGGATCAAAATAACACAAAAATCAAAGTATAAAAATTAACAATGTAATTTATCTTTTAAAAAGAATTTTAGGTAATAAAATATAAAACCATGATAATGAACCAGAACCGTAAAGGTTAAGAATCAAGCCATAAAATAGTAATAAATTGTGTGAATGAGTCCTAGGGAATTTCATAGTAGGTATCATTAGCTGCACGAAGAAGCCTCACCCAACTCCGCTTCTCGGGCGGAAATTCCCCTGCTTCAACTTCCCCATGGGTTTCTCAGCCTCAAGTGGCATATGTCTCGTCTCAAATTACCTAGTATTTCCCAAATGAAAAATTATAAAGGCCATTTTAGTAATTTAACCTAGCACTCCACATTGTCAAACACAAAAAACAATATAAGCCAGACATGAAACAGCAGTGTCCAACAGGGTCCAATCCACCCACCCAAGAGAATTTGAAGTTTTTTTAAATGGAAAGTCTGTTAACCACTCGAAATTTTTTGGGTGGATAATTGTGTTGTAGAGATTAATTTGTGTAATCTCAGGTTTAAATGGAATTTATGTGAGGCGTGATGAAAATTAATTTTTGAATTAATAAGAGCGGATTTGCAATATTACTCATTTTTAAAAGATGGTTTGGGGTTAGCCATTCAATTTGAGGAGTAGTTCGATTTAGTTGGCTCATTTCTGAGTTGATCTCAATAATCAAAACTATTTATATTTTAAGATTTAATAAAAAATCAATATAATCGGATATTGTAATTGTATGTTTAAATTACATTTATATTAAAAAATAGACGATAAATATAATGTAAAAATAAAATTTTATATTTTTCATAATACAAATGTGATTCAAATATATAATTATCGATTTTTTATTATCTTAACTTTTTGTATGAATATCTTAATAAATGAATATTAAAAAATAAATAATTCAAATTACTAAAATCTGTCCGAAAATAGATTTATTGAGAGCATCTTCAACCTATATGTCAAAACCTACGTGAGATATCAACAATCAAATTTGACCCCAAATTGTTGCTCCACTTCATATGTTAAACATGACATTAATTTAGCAAAGATTGAGAGCATGTCAAAATTAATTATAGCACTTTTCTAAAAATAAAATAATATTTCATTAATTTATTTTTCAATAATAAAATAAGAAAATTTGGCATAGGTATTGTCCCAAGGTAGATCCAAACCCACCAATATATAACCCCCTCACTATCCTTGTATCAAAACTTGACCACACTCTCATAAAAATCCCATCGTCCGATCACCGTCGACATGGAGCTACCGCCGAACCTGATAACCGACGATGCAAGTCCATATTGGATGAACAAAGGCGACAACGCGTGGCAGCTGACGGCGGCCACTCTGGTGGGCCTGCAGAGCGTGCCGGGCCTGGTGATACTCTACGGAAGCATCGTAAAAAAGAAATGGGCAGTGAACTCGAGCCTTTACGCCTTCGCGGCGGTCCTCGTCTGTTGGGTAGGGTGGGGGTACCAAATGTCGTTCGGACACAAATTCATTCATTTCCTGGGCAGACCGAACGTGGCATTGGACCAGAAGTTCCTGCTGAAACAGACCTTTTCGGGGATGTTTCCGAACGCCACGATGGTGTTTTTTCAGTTTGTTTTCGCGGCGATTACGCTGATTTTAATCGCGGGGGCTTTGTTAGGGAGGATGAATTTTTACGCGTGGATGATGTTTGTGCCGATTTGGATGACGTTTTCGTATACGGTAGGAGCGTATAGTATATGGTGTCCGGATGGTTGGTTGTCGAAGATGGGAGTCATTGATTACTCCGGTGGCTTTGTCATTCACCTTTCTTCTGGTGTTGCTGGTTTCACTGCTGCTTATTGGGTAACTACTACTACCTCTACTCTACCTCTACGTAACCATGCTAAACTATCACCTTAAGTTTTTATTTTTATTTATTTTTTAAGGGTAAATTACATTTATCTTTCTTTACATTTGAAGAAAGTTAATCTAATTTTATACTTTTGATATAATTATATTGAATTCTTTTTTGAGCATTGTTATTTAAACCAAAAAATTAGACACACTCAAAAAAATGATTGGTTGATAATTAAATCTTTAATTATCAACAAATCACTTTCTTGACACGTCACTAGGTTTATAAAGTGAATATAAAAAGTGAATTTGTATATCATTTTTCTTCTTTTTTAGTATATTAAAGTGACTGAAAGTAATACAGATGGTGAATAACACTGCAATATATAAACATATATATATATACATTTTAATTAAAAATAGAAGAAAATATTATTTTTTATTTATACAACTAACAAATTATTTATAAATATGATTTAACTGTTATGTGAATTAAAATTTTAAAGGAATTAATATAATATGTTAAAAAATAAAATTAACTGTATTTTTTTATTAAAAAAAATTAGTGTAATTTACCTTCTATATATAATATAAAAAATAAAAAATTTATTGTTAAAAACATATATAACAATTGATATTAGATTAATTTAATTTTTTTTGTATAAATATTTTTTTAATTAATTATTTGAAATTAACAATTTAAATCAATGAAGTGAGCCTTAAGGTCGCCAATTCATCTAATTTTTAGCAAACTTATACTTAAAAAATTTATTTAAAAAATTGGTGGAATTAGGTGGGACCAAGAGCAAGCCAAGACAGAGAGAGGTTTCCGCCAAACAACATACTGCTGATGCTGGCAGGTGCGGGGCTATTATGGATGGGGTGGACAGGATTCAACGGTGGAGATCCATACGTGGCAAGCATAGACGCATCTCTGGCCGTCCTTAATACGCACGTGTGTGCAGCCACCAGCTTGCTGACGTGGCTACTCCTTGATATTCTCTTCTTCGAAAAGCCTTCTGTCATTGGTGCCACCCAAGGCATGATCACCGGCTTGGTCTGCATCACCCCTGCTGCCGGTTCGTTCAATTTAATTGACCAATGTTGTGGATTCATTCCTTCTCAAACAAAATATTTTTAAAAAATATATAATAAGTAATATTAGTGAAATATAAGTTTTTTTTTTTTATAAAAAAATTAATCAAATTTACTGTTCCAAGCACAATATAAGATAAATTAAATTATTCAAGTTCAGTTTAGATTTGATTCATTAAAAGTTGAATCAAAATGGAATATTTGTATAAAAAAAATTAGGAAAAATTACAAATATCCTATTAAGATTGGATTAAAATACAAATTGTCACCTGTAGTTTTATAAATTGCATCCTGCCACTTGAAAATTTTAATTTCATAACAAATAGTTCATTTTGTTAATAAATTATTAAGTCAATTAACAGTTTTTAATAATATCATAAATTTATTTTAATTAATAATTCAAGTAATTTTATTATTGTATAAGAGAGTAGTTAGAAATTTAATTTTTTTAATCAATTATGTTAAATAAAAAAAATTGACAATAGAATATTTATAATTTTTCGAATTATAAATAACAATTATATTTTAAACAAATCTCAAGCAATGTATTTATGAAATAAATAAATAAATAAATAAATAAACTTAAAAAGTAAATTTATATATCATTTTCCTAAATAAATTCAAGCACTCTTCAATCACAAATACATCTTGGGTTTAACGAAGAAAATTCATACTATAATATATAATTGTAAATATTTTGTTTTATTTTTATTTTACATACTATTTGAATTGTATGTCATAAAAATACTGTTACATTTGTTTTGAGCAGGAGTGGTGCAAGGTTGGGCAGCCATAATAATGGGAATTCTATCAGGAAGCATTCCATGGTACACTATGATGGTCCTCCACAAGAAAATCTGGCTACTCAAACAAGTAGATGACACCATGGCCGTCTTCCACACCCACGCCGTCGCCGGCAGCCTCGGAGGCCTCCTCGCCGGCCTCTTTGCCGAGCCCCGCCTTTGCCGCCTCTTCTACATGGTCGACAACTGGCAACACTACACCGGTCTTCTCTATGCCTTCCACGCCGGCAACGTCGGTGCTGGCTTCAAACAACTTTGGGTTCAGATTCTGGGAATTGGGTTTATCATCGTTTTGAATGTTTTCATGACTAGCTTGATCTGTGTTTTGATTAGGTTTGTTGTTCCTCTGAGAATGTCTGAGGAGGAACTCAGAGAAGGGGATGAAGCTGTACATGGTGAACAGGCTTATGCGCTGTGGGGAGATGGAGAGAAGTTCGAGAACTCGAAATTTAACTCCGTTGGTGGTCTTGATGATCTTCCTAGATCGAAAGGTGATATTCAAATGGTGTGAGACTCATCATCCTTGCTTGTCAGCTGTTGTTGAGTGCACTATTTGAGAATGGCTTTATTCTGGTTTGGGTATGAATAAGGAAAGAAAAATTATAAGTACACACAATCTTGAATACAACTCTCTTATTTGAGACATGTCTCCGTATGTGATCATATTCTGTGCATGTAAAAAAACTGATATGAGAATTCATTTCGAATTTTAAGATTCTGTCACTTCGACATTTCTTTTTTTAAAATATTAAGATTACGCTTGGTTAAATTTATAGAATCTATTTTAAAAATAATTTAAAAACTAATTTGGTGAAAAAATAAAATTAAAAAATAGTTTGGTTTTCTCTTTTTTGTGGTGGAAATAATTTTTGAAAATTTAAAATAAATTTTTTTGATGTTTGTTTTTGTGAAATAGTTTCTAATTTTTCAACAAAAATTTAGAAATAAGTTTTAAAAACTCAACCAAATGAAGTCTAAAAGTTTAGGGATTGTTTATCCATTGAACATTAACATTGGATTGGATGTTTTTTACTCCAATTTAATATTATGTTTAAGAATGAGTAAACAAAATTTAAACTTAAGTCTCGTTTGGGAACCTTCCGTTTTAGTCAAAAAGTCAAAAAGTTACAAAATTAGCCAAAAAGCCAACAATCCATATCAAAAAGTCAAAGATTCTCTTTTCTTTTTACTTTTTGCACATCTTTGCATAAAAAGCCAAAAAGTCATCCCAAACGTACTAGTTTTTTTTAATTCATATTTTAGCCAAATAACTAAAAAATTACTAAATTAGCCTATTCCTAAACAAGGCTTTATAGTTTACAAAAAGTGCACAAGTGGTATAATTTTGGAGTTTGGACTGGACGTTCCAATTAATATTCAGACGGGAGAGAGGCATAACGCAAAAGAGAAAAGTTAATATAGAGAATCAATGTAAAAGCATTATGAACTTTGTGATTTGATTTGTTCGAAGCATTTTTACATGTCCCATGGACCAATTAGGTATGTTGAAGTTGGGTTTTAGTAAGGTTGATGTGCAATCAAGGCCATGCTTACGTCGCTAAGCTAGCGCAAGAACACTTGGGTTGCCTTGTGTAAATCCGCAGTGTAATAAGCCCATGTTGAGCGCTTTTTGGACTTCTTTTAGTTAAAAATGTTTGTGTTCTGTTATGGACTGATCCAATTCTAACTGCTTTGGAAAGAAAGAGTGGGTTGGGCAAGGCCCAACGAGTAGATTGGGGGGGACAGAAACAACATGAAATATATACTAATATGAAAGAGCATTGCAGGCAGTTTTTTCTTAGCAAAATTTACTACCATGTTTTAGTAGAATGCGAGATACATTGGTCTCGTTTGGAAACAGACTAATTTAGTAATTTTTTGATTATTTGACTAAAATATGAGTTAAAAAAAGTTAGTATGTTTGGGATGACTTTTTACAAAAAGATGTGCAAAAAGTAAAAAAACAAGAAAATTTTTGACTTTTTAACTAATTTAATAACTTTTTGATATTTTAACTAAAAAAGAGAATTCTCAAACGAGACCTTAAAAAAGATCATGGTTCACGGATACACTTTATGGTTCCTAATATTGTTATTTTTATTAGAAAGATGCTTGGGAGCACTAATTAGTGCTCCCACTAATTAGGTGGCAGTGGGTCCCGTCATGAATGATGTGATGTTTTGATCTTGGAGTTGTAATTTTTTTTATTTTTTTTATTTTTTTAATACATTAGTGCTATTAGTGGTAATGTTTTTAGTGAGATGAATCATTATTGTTTTTATTATGACAAGACAACTCTTAACCGCTTTAGTAGTAATAGTTCAGACTGAGTCTAAATTTAAAAAAAAAATACAAAAATCTCTCATGTTTAAGCTTTGCCTGATTTAAAATGATATTACAATCTCAAGCTCGTATAACAAATTCGCATATAAAATAAAATTAATATTATGAAACAATAATTTTGTAGTTAAGTTGACGCAAAAAAAAAATGATGTCATTGCATCTTAAGTGTAGAGTTAGGCTTCGTTTGGGAATAGATTTTTTTAGTAACTTGTTAGTTTTTTGGCTAAAATATGATGTAAAAAAATTAGTATGTTTGGAGTGATTTTTTGATTTTTTACGAAAAGATATACAAAAAGTAAAGAGAAAATAAAATCTTTGACTTTTTAGTATAGGTTGTGGCTTTAGTAATTTTTTGACTAAAATCACCACTTGTCAAATGAAGCCTTAAGTATGTTTCCATCTTAAGTGCATTTTAAAAAACATTAAATAAATTGTATAATATATGTAGATGTCATTTGCAAATAAACCCATATAATAAATGGCCTTAAAAAATCATTAAAACCCTATTATACAAAATTTTAATGTCAATTTAAAACCTTTAAAAAAGTAAAAACGGAACATATTCATTCCTAAACTTTAGAAAAGTTTATACTAAGTAGACTAGCCCCGGTTATTTATGCACTCCTAAGGTAATGCAAAAGGAATGTTAATTTGTTTAAGAAAATAAATTAACTAAAGTACACCTTGTTAACATACACTATAAATTACACACTAAATAAATAAATTACACTCTAAATGAAGGTCCCCACTGATCCATAGACTACATAGTGAATGCTTAAATTAGAATGATGCTATCAATACTATATAGATCAGAGCAAAATACTGATAAATCAACAATTTAAAAATAACTTGGCATAATTACTATATTGTATTTAGGAGCAAAGTTACCAAACCTTAACGTCATCATTATAAACTTAGTACAAACCCACGTGATCATAGAAATTTCACAGAAAACTTAAGGGCAAATTACATATACACCCCTCGAGGTTTGGCTAAATTACAGATGCCCCTGAAGTTTGAGAAATTACGAATTTCCCCCTGAATACTATATTTGCATAAGAAATTAGGGGGTAATTTGTTATGAAATATAAACCTCAGGGGGCAAATTGTTATGAAAATACAAACCTCAGGGGGCGGGATGTAATTTCCGAAACTTCAGGGGTATCTGTAATTTAGCCAAACCTCGAGGGGTGTATATGTAATTTGCCCAAAACTTAAATATTGCAACAAGGTTATCACACTTGGACTAAGGAAGGATTATCTTAACAACGGCTCTATAGAGAGAGAGAGAGAGAGAGAGAGAGAGGGCATGTGAAGAGAGCATGCATCGATGAGAGAAGCCCATTTACTTTTGGCAGTTAGGCTACGCTTCCCAAGCAATAGTGGGAAAGCAGACCCTTTACATTCATTTCAATGAAAAAACCTGCAAAAATAAACAACCTAAAAGACCGTTAAGCATCTCTCACTACTAGTACCATCACTTTCACTTTGTCCTTTTTTGGCCCATAAATAAACTAGCCCCAGTCACTCCTCCTTGGAGAATGTACCTCCTATGTATTAAGAGGGAATTATGGCACAAAGGCAATAAGAAAAAAAAAAATTATAAAAATATATGAAGTGTAAGTGATTCTATCCTGAGGTGCGAGTGAAGTGATGTGGGGGTGTAAGTGTGATTTATACCTCTTCATATTTTTGTTAAAAAAAAAGGTTTGCTCCACCGGGGTGTAATCCTCCCATATATTAATGGGTAATTGTATTTCAATAAAATAGTGAAAGAATAATTATATTATAGATAAGAAAAAAAATTATGAAAGTTATAAAAAAAATATTTACACCATACATGGAAAAAACTTGCTCATAAAAATGAAAATATTTTTCACTATCCAACTTATTTGCGATTTTTTTCATATTAATTTGAGTAATGTTACACTTACCATCTTTTTATATCACCTTCAATATATCATCTTATATGTCAACATTTGTATTACTATTGAATAATACTATATGTGCCAATAATGTGTTGACATATAAAGTGATTAACTAATGCTGTGTTTGGTTGGAGGATTTGAGAAGGGATTTGGAAAGGGAAAGGGAAAAGTTAGGTGAAATGTGAATAAAATATATCTACATTTCACATAATTTCACACATCTTTTCCCTTTCTATTTCCAAATTCCTTCCCAAATCCCCAACCAAACACAGCATAAGAGTGACATAAAAAACGACAAGTTTACTGTTACACTATTAATTCACATGCCAAACTCTCCCTCTCTCTTCTAGTAGTAGTACCAGACCTCCATAGCATGCCCTTGTGGATCTTTGAGGTGCTTTGCTTCCATCAAAGCAAACCCTACATCACATTAGCATGTTTGGTAATTTCTCGCAGCGAAAGTCCAGATTTATTGCTTTCCTTTATGTCAATTATGTGGAACTACAACTATACTCGGTACTATATACGCTCATGAAAGCCAATAAATGGAGTACAATAATGAGATTACTTACAGTCCTATTGCACGAAGAACATAATGATTTACTTTGTGCTCGGCCATATCAAAGCTCTCGATCTCACTTTTTATTAAATTGCCATTAATAAGTGACAATGTACCACCACGTTATCTCAATTGCATAGCGTACACGTTTCATAAAATATTTTCTCATTTTATGAAAAACCAATAGTAGTGAACTTTTACAAGGCACATAATTCAAATATTTTAAAAATATTTCAAAATAATTTATGAGATTCCGTAATTGTTTGATGAGATTGCTAAAATTTGAAGTGTTTACAATGTAGTAGAATAAATCTTTACTACATCACAATTTAATGGGTCTAACCGACACCACATATATTTTACTTGACAATACATAAGGTATGATTATTAAATTTATGTAAACTCATGTGCGAGAAATTTCTTACAATAAATTCTCAAAGTGGGTGAAGAACTCCAAATAAAATCAAAGAATAAATCCACACAAAAATGGAAAAATGAAAACTCTTTCAACACCTAATGAAGCTATAAGCCCAAATTATTGGCGTAGGAAGCAAGTTGTAAAGCTATAAGCCCAAATTATTGGCATGGGAAGCAAATCATCAATAGAGGTGTAATTTTGGTCTAGCCCGGCCGGGCTCATGTCGGGCCTTACGGGCTCCAGTCAAAAAATCTGGTCGGATCACTGGCCAGAAAACTAGTCCCAGGCCCTAGCCCAGGCCGAGGGGTATTCGGGTTTTGGGCGGGCCAGTGGGCCGGACCCTTGAGCCTGGGCTCGGGCTTTGGGCAGGTCTAAACAATTTTTTTTATTTTTTAAAAATTGTTTCATCAAAATTTTATTATTTTCTATTAAAAATAACACTGGGCCTCGGGCCGGATTTTTGGGCCGGCCTTGAACGGGCCGATGGG